CCCCAAAACCCCAAAACCCCAAAACCCCAAAACCCCTTAAAATTAGGTTTATTGAACGAAGCTTGGAAGTTAATTCTTAATACATTTCAAATACCCAACTACATCTGCGCTCCAGCAACCAAATTACCATTCTTTACTGTAAGAAGGTATTCCCTCCTCTTGGGTTGTAAAGAGTCTCTATGTAGTGAGAGGAAAGCCCTCTCTTCTTTTTCTTCCGTACATCTTTGGGCTTTGGAGGCTTCTTGCCCTCTCTTAATACCTTTGGCTTCTATGGGTGAGAAGGCCACTTACTCCCTTGCTCTTGAATTTGTCAGTGTAGGTAATGTAGTTTGACATATCCATTTTCTAGAGTTAGATAAAGAATACCTTGTTTTTCTGGGCTACTATTATGGGAAATTTTGTCTCCCTAGTAAGGTTTGAGGAACTTTCTATTCTTCTACTGCTTTTAAACCTTTTAGTGCTATTTGGCATGCTACAACTTTGTTCAAGAATCAAGTTATCTTGGATAATTCCAGAGGTTTGAGTAGTCCGTGTAGGGTTCCTTTCATCAATCCTTGAATTATCCCCTAATATTATCAAAAACTACTTACTCGACTGTGCTTGAGAATGTATCAGCATCTTTTTAAGCTTGACTAAAACACCTGATCCAGGCTCTGAAATCAGAAGCCTCGTCATATCTTGAGTGTAGATAGTTCCATGTAATTTCTCTGTTGAGATCTTATACTCAAGTTCCTTATCGCTATAGCCTAACCATGCAGGGTTACCTAATATTGCTCTTCATGAAGATGGGATAGGTCCTTTTTAGCATTGCCTTCTTGATCTTCCGAGCTATACCTTTGGAATAATCAAATGTGTTAAATGATTTATTTTCAGAATTTTTGTTCTTAAATTCTGAGAAATGGAATGTATCAAATATGCTATCCTCAATCCTTTCAATCAGCTTGGCAGCTAACTCGTTGTTTCTCATTGATATAGAGCTGATGGTTGTAACTAGTTTCTTAGACCAAGCTTTGTGTGAGACAAATGAATTTATGTTCTCCTTTAGTGCTGATTTTAAGACCTTTCCTTCCAAATCCTTGATGCAGATGGCTAACCTGCTAAGGTACTCTATCATTAATTCTAGAATCAAAGGAGTGTTAAGTTTCTTAGGTGAGCTACCTTTCTTAGTGTGGATATCTTCCTCGTAATATTTAGTAAACTGCACTTCTCCAAAGTTGAGTCTTTTTGATACCTCAAGGATGACATCTTCTTTGAGATCCTTAAGGAACCCAGTACTCGAGGAATACAAGAACTCATAAATAGCTGAGTTGACTGGCTTAGAGTTAATGAAGAAGTAATCATATATATTACTTCCTTCTGAAGGGTAGATACAGACGTAGTTCCCAATACGACATCTTTCCTCAAGTGTCTCGAGGATCTCACTTTTATATTTAGTCATTGCCATTTTTGACAGGATTTCATGGCATTTTTCACTAAGCGAATGATAGCAATTATTTCTCCTTAATATCCTTCTTCGCTAAGTGTGAACTGAGGTTGGAGTAAAATAATTCATTGTCATAAGCATTAGTGACGAGGTTGTTATCACCAGCCTTGTTGTTAATGCTTTTAGACTTTTTGGATTTGGGCTTTCCACCAGTTTTCTCTAACAACTTGTTGTAGCGCTCAAGGATGTTTTTGGTCTTCTTTTCTTCAGCAATATTACGGACCCTGCTAGCCATCTTTGATAAGCTCTCTTTCTTACGATCAAACTTTTTGATTCCGACAAGATTGAAAGTATCTGTGAGTAGAGTTGATTTTATATGGAAATCTAATGGAGAATCAGTCCCAAGTGATGGAGATAGATTCACTTCAAGGAGCCAAGGTTTTAGTTCAGAGTCAAGAATAATATCAAACCCATAGAGTTCAAATCAATTCCTTTGATCAATATTCGAAGTTTTTAGCTTCTTTGTGATAGGATATTCTCCTGTGATGATAACTTTGAGAATAATATCATACATTCTCGACCATAGTAAATCCATATCTATTCCGATTCTTTCCATATGTTTGCACAGAGAGGAAAGACTCCATTTGCCTCCTACATCATCTTGCTCTGAAGACTCATTCTTGACAAAGTTAGGGTTTTTCTTGTTTATACTGTAATTAGTGAGATGAGCATATCTCTTTTTCCTTCTTTGCTTGCTATCTTTATTAGATGTGTAATAATTCTATTGGTTTACTAAAGTTATAGACTTACTTCTTCTTCGTCTTCACAAGAACCCTGGATATTTTTCTCATTATAGTCCTCATACTGCTCAGAGGCAAATCTTACAAGACCTTCTTTGTAGACGTAAACCCGGAGTGGTTCGTAACTAGTGACTCAGACGTAGATTCTGAGATCAAATTTAAACCCGTTAATCAAGAGAGGGTTCGTGATATATCTTGATACTACATTTGAACTATCTTCATTTATGTCATCAATATCATCTGTGATATAGATGCCCTTTCCTCTTGCGCCTGCAGCTGGCTTGATGATCCACATGTTTCGCTCAGGTACTTCTTTATTTTAACAACTTGTACTGTTCATAGAAGTCATCAAATTGATCAGGTAGGACATATGTCTCAGGAGATATATCAAAATCAATCTCTCCGAATCTCATCTGCATCTTTCCGATATTGTAAGCTAACCGATCCTTTCTAGTCAATTCATAACTGTGAGGGAAGTGATTAATCTTCTGATATCTGTTAAGGTTCTCATACAGGTAACTCTTTCCACTTGAGTTAATCCACAGGCAGTTCCAATCATGAGAATCAGTCGCACTGAATCCATTATTCAGAAAAATTGACCTAATCAGCTTGATATCTCACTTGAGAAGTTTAAAAAGTAACACTAAGATGATGAGTTATCAAGGTGGATTATACGGTTGAATTTGGAGTACATGCCATTGTTGTACTCAGACTTTTTAACCATTTCAGATTCTTTGATACACTTAAATTTGATCACCTCATATCCCTTATCTTCAGTTTCTTGTTCGAAGTAATACCCGTACTTCCTCATTTTGTTCTATTAGATTATGAGCCACATTTATACTTTAATTATGTTGTTCTCACTATGTTGAGTTAAGATAGGAAGCATACTCTGGGAGTACATTGGAGTCCCGCTTACAGACCGAGCTCGTGGAAGGTCTCTTCTTGTGATACTTATTTCTTGGATTTGTCACTATTTGACTCTGTCTCGTGGTGCTTTCTAATAGTAGTCTTTTCTCTTGTTTTTGAGTCCTTATTACGACTCTCAGATCTTTTGTTCTTGCACCCTAATTTATGAAAATTTTATAATTGTTTGCAGGAATAAATATTTTAAAATTTACCTGAATTTTTGAAATTTTTCATTTTCAAAACCTTAAGTAATGCTGTAAGAATAACCATATCCCTAATTTCTAAAGAGGGTTATGCATAAATTACCTTTCTTATTCCCGCTGAGCCTTGGAACGATCTCATTCTTACTGCTAACCACAGTAGAGACCTCCTGGTCTGCTTTACTTTGACTCTTCGAGAGCTGACTTAGGACAGTTTCCAGTGTACTCTCATTACTTCTGTAAGGGATGTCCCACTGTTGGTGGGTAAATTCCTTTCCAGTTCCTTCTCTCTACTCGTCATTAACCAGCTCGTACTTACCGACATTCTGTATATTTCTGATCCTCTCAATGGCTGGTGAGGAGTTGTGGTTTCTCTCAGGGCTGACTTCAACGTAACTGTAATTAAGCTTGACTTTATTTTCTTTATCTTCTTCAGAGATTTGACTTGAATCTGCCTGATACCTCTGTGGGGCTTCCTTAGTGTCCATAGTTCAAATTGAATTATAATCAATAATTTAAAGAATTATTGGGGTTTTGGGGTTTTGGGGTTTTGGGGTTTTGGGG